CTGATGAGAAGGCCGAGAGAGAGAAAGCCTTCCCCTGGAGCTGACACCTTGAATTTGGACTTTTAGCCTACTTTACTGTAAGGAAATAAACTTCTCTTCGTTAAAACCATCCACTTGTGGTATTTCTGTTATGGCAGCACTAGATGACTAAGACAGCTGCTAACCAAAAAGTCAACAGTTCGAATCCACCAGCCACTCCTTGGAAACCCTATGGGGCAGTTCTCCTCTGTCCTACAGAGTCACTATGAGTTGGAATTGACTCAACGGCAATGGAATTTTGTTTTTTTGGGGTTATTGTGTTGGCGGACCAATGAAATGTGAATGAGAAAGAAAATATACTTATAATTAATAAATTATTTCATATTCCATACATTTTTTTACCTTCATTGTAGCAAAATTACTAATTATGGTTTCCCATAATTTATGTTCTTTTGGCAGAAATGCTGAGTTAGACAACTGCTTTTCTTTTAAATAGCTTTACTGAGATATAATTCACACACCATATAATTCACCCATTTAAACTGTACAACTTTTATTGAGTCATATTAGTAATGAGATAATTTTTCATTGATTTTAATTTGAAGAAACTTTACTCTGCTGAGAACATGTCAGCCTGAATTGTTAATAAAACACTCAATGAAATCCTTAGATTTGGAAATGGACCATGAATATGATATATCATGATCCAAATATGGTAATGGAATCCCATATGAATAAATTATCTTTATCACAGAAAATGTTTTAATGCCATCATATAAGTCTTTACCACTTATATTGCAATTTTTACCATTTGTTTAAAGTAATAACTAAATCTAATAGTAATGTGAAGTATTGGTATCATATTTCACACTTGTTGCATCTACACTTACATCTATACGAATTTAAGAGAGATATGAATGGTGAAGGCATTAGTAGGCAGACCACACCCAGTTGCCGTGTGCAAGCATTGTGAGTTTTGAGGACCTCCTGTAGTACAAATTGGAACATGAAGAGAAGCAAGAAAACAGACTTTCAACACCACTGGAAAATCAGTGCAAGGATCAGTTGCATTCATGGATCTGAAAGGAAAGAACGACAAGTTAATTAGTCTTTCCTTTTATCTAGGTATTTCTGGTACTCAAGTCCTTCCCTGCATTATGATATTAGCAGTGGCAAAAGCCTCAAATATTCAGGGCTTTCAGATACAGTTGACAATTTTTTCAAGGCCTTAGGGCAAGGGATGTGAGGAAGCGTATCCCAAACGTGGTTCCGTGGTATGATAGCAATTCTTGCCTTCCAGGCAGGAGACCCGGGTTTGATTTCTAGCCAATGTATATCATGTGCGGCCATCACCCGCCACCAGCTACAAAGAAAGGCCTGTTGATCTCCTTCCAAAAATCAGCCAATGAAAACCCTGTGGATCACAGCAGTCTGATTCCCAACTCATCATGGACCGTGCAGCGTTTAGTTCCGGTGTGCATGGGGTTGCCATGAGTTGGGAGTTGACTTGATGGCACCTAACAACAACCAACAGTTTTAGTCACAAGACCTGATGCTTAGGATTACCCCAAGTGACAGAGACACTCACGTGTTCGTTAATAAATTGTGTGTGTGTGGGAGATATTTGAGGCCTTCTGAAGTATGGGATCCAGGGTAGTGACCCCTCTTGCCCAAGCCTTAGAATGGTCCTACCCTGCAATCTAAAACTGCAGAAGCATTTGACAGCCCCTCTCTGAGTCTCCGCCATCAACCTGTCGATTGTGCTATGAAGACAACACGGCCAGGAGATTCTTTCTTTCTCAACATCTTCTTTTGGAAGCCTGCTGACTGTGCTTATCGCTTGTTTTTTTTCCATTTAGGAACTGGTGAAAGTGGAAAAAGCACCTTTATCAAGCAGATGAGAATTATCCATGGATCTGGTTACACTGAAGAAGACAGAAAGGGATTCACGAAGCTGATTTACCAAAACATATTCACCGCCATGCAAGCTATGATCAGAGCAATGGACACCCTCAGGATACACTATGTGTGTGAGCAGAATAAGGTAACGCGCTTCAGGGATGTTTGCCCTGCTTGGGAATGCATGTTCCTACTCTGGTTATTCTATGTCTTTGAACAAAAAATTTTATTGAATACTTTGGTAAGATCCCCAAAGAAGCTCTTGAGCTCTAACTGTAGGGTGGAGATACTCCGAAGGAGTGTGAAGGGAGTGGATTCTTTTTCCATCATCGCTCTTACGGATTTAATAAGACCTTCAGTCTTATTTGGCATTAAATGTAGCACAAACAGCTACGGAATGAAAAGATTGGATGTTTAACTCCACTTAGAGGCTCCTTGGAAGAAAGGCCTGGTGATGATCTACTTCTGAAAACGTCAACCATTGAAAACCCTATGGAGCACAGTTCTACTCTGAAACACATGGGGTTGCCATGAATCCGAGTCAACTCCATGGCAACTGGTTTTGGTTTTTGCAGTCTCATTTTTGCAAGCGTTCTATCATGGTGCTCAGTGTGATACTACCGAGTGTCTAGGGATTCAGAAGTGTGTGCATTTATTTAGTTTGCTTTTTTCAGGTGCTAACAAAAGGAAGAAATGTGTTTTCTCTTTCAGCTAAGATGCCCAGTTAATTACTTCATTGGAGCAATGGAGATTTGGGGTTTACAATAGCCAGCTTTTCAAGAATTCCCAGTCTTAGGAAATATTTTACTAAATTCCCTGCAAACTACTCAGAGGAATCAGTGGGTTTTGTTTGTTTATTTTAGGAGCTAGTCCTTCTTGGGAACTAAGTGATAGTTTATGAGAGCAATACTTATGTCCTAACTAGCAATATGCTCTCATGAAATGATGGTGTCAGACTGTGATTTGCTTTCCTATCACCATTGGTTACTTAAAATACAAATCTGTTTAAGACCAAAAGAAAACAATGAGATAGCTGAGTGGGAGGATGAGGCGAATAAAATTTTATATGGTATATTGGAATGCAAATCCATAAGAAAATAACACTGTGCCTAACTTCATTAAGAATCTAGATTAGAAATAGAATTTATTTAAAATAATTCATACCAAGATACAATATGATAATAAAGTGATAAAGTCTATGTTAGATGGGTCCCTCAGGGGTCTATCAAAAAAGAAATTAGATACTAAAATGCCAAAATTGCACGGGCCTTTCTACAGACCCGAAGGACAACTTTATCATGAGCTTGTGGCACCCGTATTCATGTATATATTTTATATGTGATGTACAAAAAGTTTCAAAACAATTGAATGATTTAAACTTTTATTATTCAGTAACTGGATTACATAGGAAAACGCCAAAAACCAAAACCAAACTGTTGCTGTTGTGTCGATTCTGACTCATAGCAATCCTATAGGGCAGAGCGGGACTGCCCTATATGGTTTCCAAGCAGGGGCTGGTGGATTTGAACTGCCGACCTTTTGGTCAGCAGCTGAGCTCTTAACCACTGCGCCACCAGGGCTACAGTATGCACCAGATTGAAGACTTACTTTTATGTCCAGAACCTCATGTTTTGAGATTTCCTCACAGTCTTGAGGAAATGAAGAAACATATCTTGCTTGCAGTCTTGACCTTTGACAGCGTCATGCTGAAAAGTGTCTGTGGTGAGTTCTGTACCATAGAGATGGTGCTAAGTAACACGAAAGGGCTCTAGAAGTGGCTATGATGATTCCTTTATACACTGGTTTTGAGTACCAGTGTACGCTTTTTGAAAGTGTACAATTGTTTCTGAATCGCCCTATACATGGGTTTTAAAAAGTAGACCTTTCACAGAGATTTAAGATTATTTCAGAGAAGAGGCATGGCAGCAACGCCCTGGTGATGATTTCAGTTAACCTGTCTTCCCCTGTTGAAAAACATATTTTGTTTACCAGACATGATGTGGTGACTCGAGGAGGCTTGGAATTCAGGGACGGAAATGGGAGATTTTATTTGTAAATAGATCTACTGGGAAGAAAAGGCTCAAGTGTAAGTCCGTACTGCTTACCTTAGCAGCAAGCGTTTGTAAAACCCAATCAGATTTACTAATCAAGGCCTCTGGGTTTCTTTTCTCAAGGTCTTTGAAAGGGACTCTGAGTTTTTATTTTAAGCAAGAAGGTTTTCTAGGGTTTGAAATTCCACCACTGTCTCCTTTTCTCTTCATTGGAGTTCTTCATAATGCCATGGCCACTTGCTTTAGGCAGTAGGACTCCTGCGTCCTCATTTGCCCTATCTAGCTCTCATCTCAATGCCTTTCTACTTCCAGTAACAATATTCATGCTCCATAGACTTCCTCTTACTCCTCAAACATATGCCCAGGTGAACCACATCCTGGCATGACTTAAGGAGAGGCAGAAAACTGAGTGCAAAGAACACTGCTCTGGTTTCCAAAAATCTGGGCTCTGCTCATGGCTCCCCTGTGGGTCTAGGGCAGGAGTCAGCAACCTTTTTCTATAAAGTGCTAGAGAGCAAATGCTTTTGGCTTTGCGGGCCATGTAGTCTCTGTCACACCTATTCTACTCTGCCAACGTAGCGCAAAAGCAGACAGAGACAATACTTAAAGGAATGAGCATGGCTCATTTGGAAACTGTATCTACAAAATGTAAAAACTATTCTTAGCCTGGAGCCCTGGTGGCGCAGTGGTTAAAGAGCTCGGCTGCGAACGGAAAGGTCAGCAGTTCGAATTCATCAGCCGCTCCTTGGAAGCAGTTCTACTCTGTCCCATAGGGTCACTATGAGTCGAAATCGACTCGACGGCAACGGGTTTTTTTTTTTTATTCTTAACCTATGGGCCATACAAAAACAGGCCGTGGGTGGAATTGGCCCTTGGGCTGTAGATTGTCAGCCCTGGCGTTGGGGGAAGCCACGTACTTAACCCTCCTGGTCTTCCATTTCCCTGCGTGGTAAATGCAGATAACACGTGTTCCCTCTACTTCGTAAGCCAACATGAACAAGAGGAAGTGCTTTACAAATTACAAGGCACTGGAGAACCGAAAAGATAAGGTCATTATTGGGCCAAGTTCAAAAACCTAAATGAACTCAATGTTGCTTCTATGACTTGTCTAGGACACTTTCATCCATTTCCTCTTTATTGTTTTACAAATAATTTTCTCTGTGGGCTGGTCCTGGCTCCCACATGCGACAACCATACCGTGTTTAGGTCTGTATTCTGAATATGCTCAACAATGATTAGTGGCCCAGTAGTATTAAGTAGGAGTCTCTGTGGGGTGCAGACAGTTAACGTGCTTGGCTGCTAACTGAAAGACTGCAGGTTCAAGTCCACCCAGAGGCACCTTGGAAGAAAGGCCTGGTGATCAGCCATTGAAAATCCTATGGAGCACAGTTCTCCTCTGACACATATGCGGTCGCCATGAGTCAGAAGGACAGGATGGCAACCGGCAGTCTTAAGCAATTAGTATAAGAAGCATGATATGTTATCTTCTCTACAAAATGTTATATAAGTTGGAAAAAATGAATAGCTAAGACAGAGGTGGAAAGAAAAAAACTTTAACTAACTTATTTTCACAGTGGTGTAGTTCTTCCCTCATTTCTTATTGCTGAGTATTTATTTCCATTGTCTTTTTCAGAACTGGAAACACTTTCTTAAAAGTACATAGAAATTTTGGTAAGATTATTGCTCGGCTAGGTGATTGAAAACTTGCCTGTGACTTGAAAGATGCTTATTAAAAGAAAATTTCTCAGAAATTTAATTGGACATTTGGTTTGTAACCAACGTGTTTTTTCAGTTAAGATATAGCCTTGAAGATCATTTCTCATACCTTGCCTGCTTTTTATTTAAAGAAATGATTCATACGTGTTTGCTCACTCGGTTGATAAGCTTTAATTTTTATGAACGTCTCACAAGAGTGTCTTATGAGCACATATTAAAGTTTATGACTTCTTGAATAAATATGGCAAAGGCATTATCTCAGTGGCAGGGTTCCTAAGTCTGAGTTAGCTTGTAACTCATGTTTACTAGTGAGGATTTCACAGAAGCCAGGAGAGCTTCTTATTTTTTGCAGTTTGCAGCATCTGGGAGTTGGGAAATCCTAAGCCTCAGCCTGTGCTGCAGTGAGAGAAATCTTTTTGATCCCCTTAAACAATCTGCAGAATCTTCTTGGATGATTTAGATACTGAATTTCCCGAGGGCAAAGCACAGGCCTGCCTGGCTGCTTAATAGTCTGTTATTTCTATAGTCAGTGATCTCTAGAAAAAAGAAGTTTTATGGGCTCTCTTGGTAGCTGGCCTCAACTTCTTCCCTGCCCTGTTGCTTAATTAAAACAGACAAAAACCCTAACCAGTTGCTGTCGAGTTGATTCAGATTCATGGCAACCCCATGCATAGCAGAGTAGAACTGTGCTACATAGGGTTTTCAAGGCTGTGACCTTTCAGAAGTAGCTCACCGGGTCTTTCTTCTGAGACACATCTGGGTGGGTTCCAACCACGGAACTTTCAGTTAGTAGTCGAGCACTTGACTCTTTGTGCCACCCAGGGGCTCTTTTTGCTTATAAAATCCATTGTCGTCGAGTCGATTCCAACTCATAACGACCCCATAGGACAGAGTAGCACTGCCCCATAGGGTTTCCAAGAAGCACTTGGTAGATTCGAACGGCTGGCCTTTTGATTAGCGGCCATACTGAGGTCACATCATATTTGCATGTAACTTATCCAAATTTAATTCATCACAAAAGGAGATCATCATAAAAACAAAACAAAACAGAGAGCTAACAAACAGTAAAAGGATTATTTTGTATGCCAATCCACTCAGAGTACCCAACTTAGAACATAGCTTTTCTAGACGGTGAGATCTGAATTTCCCTTTAGAAAGCATCTTACTCTTCCATTAGAACCTGTTGCTGAATTCAAAGCCCTAGTTGAGACCGCGGATGTGGGTCATGCAGTCAGCCACACTCTCAGAAGGCGAAGCTTTCCTCTGAATCTCTAGGGTTAAGTTGACTCTCTGGCCCTCTGCTAGTTCTGTTTCACTCTATGTAGGTCCTACATCTGAGTCCTGGCTGGTACAAACAGTTAACATGCTCCACTGCTAC